TTATAGAGCTGGACCCCATTGAAGTCCCCACACAGCCCACAGGTCTGGTTTCGGTATTTTTCATCCACTTCCACCTAGACAGTGAAATGAAAACTCCTCAGTATTTGAAAATAGTAAATGGTATACAGTTAATTAACTTTGTAGGAATTTAAAAAAGAATTGTACAAAATAATCATAGCAGTATTGTAGTTACAATGAAAATCCTGCTTCCAATGACATTATGGAGATGGGGTGAGTGTTCTGGACCATAAACTAAAGATACTTGGCTAACTGTAGTTCTGAGGCATATCTGTTCCTCAGGCCCTGCAGGTTTGTGTCGTACTGTTGTCTCTATATACATAAAAATGAACATTGTTGATCATTGGAGGAGGCTCTTGGCTTGTTTTTCCCAGGATGGTTGTTGAATTATTGACTTAAGAAAGGTGTTCCCCTGCTTGTACCTTTTTTCAATGATTTTAAAGAGACAAAAGAGTTTCCTTGGTTAAAGTAAACTATAACAGATTCTCTCAAATTGTTCACCTAAGTTTTGACCCCAAATATCTAATTGTTTTTTACTTAGACTTTTACAATAGAAATATAAAGTAAGCTATGCAAAGTTTAAATTGAGGGAAATTATGTTTAAACGTTACAATGCACTAGTTAGCCCTTGATATAAACACTGTGTCTCGTTTTGGTACCATACCTTAGAAAGAGTTCAACGAAGAGAAATCAGAATGATTTGTCATTTCAAGAGATTGTAATAGTTTAAGTGAACTAAATGCATTCAGTCTGGAACAAATGAGATTGGGAGAGATTTGATTTAAGTCTATAAGCTCCCAAGGGGTAGAGACAGAGACAGACCTGGAGACAAGGACATGATCTGACACAATTTGAAACTAGAAAGGAATTTATCCAGGCTGGAGAATGGGTAAACCTTCTTTAGATTTATGGGTATCTGAAACAGCCTTTCCTGCCAGGTACTGTAGCACTGTGTGTACTGTGACACCTAAGCTCTTAGTTATTTTACAGAATGGCTGGATGAAATGTTAGATTCACTAAATTATTAAACTTCTTGTCTAAAAACAATTCTTGTTTGCAAAAAGAAAAAAAGCAAGCTTGAAAAATCATACCAAGAAAGCATCTTCCTCATTCCACATGGCAACGAGACCCAGCTTGGCAGTGACCTTGATATAGGAGGAGCTCTTCTCAATGAGAACACCAGACTGGCTGAATGGCAGGGGGACTCTGAAAGAGGTGGAAGTCATGGTCTGATCAGAGTTTGTTACATTGTGGGTAGCTACAGGGTCAGGGTGGCCCTTATACAATCAGCGTTAAATTCCCCGACAAACAAAGCGGTCAAAAAGTTCCCTGAACTTTCTGACTGCTTTGTTTCATGTAAAACACTTACCTGTATATGTCAGTAAACATTTGGAAAAATAAAACTAGTAGCAGAAAAGATTTCCAAGATTTATGATTCTTTCATAATTAACCCCTAAGAAGCTTTCAGAGCTTAAGGCTTATTGTCT